GAAGAAAAACCAGAAATTGGGCAGTTAAACAGAATTCCTGTAAAGAAGAATTGATGTTAAGCAAGCAACATTTGTCCCAATTCTAATATTTGAAAAGTGGTTGCTTAATTTTACATTTACAGACCTCCAGGGAAGGATTTAGCCCCCCCTCCCCCAAAATTTTTTTTTTTTACTTAGGAAAAAAAAATTCATGTGTAATTTTCTTTTTTTTTTTTTTTTTACCTATTAGCCTCCCTGTAGTCCTGTCCTGGATCCGTCCCTGCAGACTTCTCATCTGCAACTTGTCATTTTGATTGGGGCTCATTGCTGGTAGAAGGGAGGTTTGGACCGGTTCATGATGGACTAGTACCTGGAGGAGATTTAACATGAAAATGAGTTGAGTTGTCGAGATTTAACATAATATACTTGCCACGTGTGAATTTCTATTTTCCACGTCAATTTTCCATCCATTTGGAGGGATGAGAGTTAAATGGGTGGTGGATGAGAAATTATAGGGAAAGATGAGTGAGTATTGGATAACCCATTAAAGATTGATAAGTAAGTAGTAACAATAGTAAAGTTGAATGAGTGTTCATTAAATTTACTCTTTTCTCTTTTAAAATTATTATGGATTGTGTCGGTTCACTTCAAACCCGACCAACCCACAAGTGAAAATATGAAACCCTATTTTCTTGAGTTAAATGTTTCATTGGTCATCAAACTTTACCTCATGTTACGGCTTACTCATCGAAGTTCACAGTACTTTCAATTGGACACTGAATTTTATGCTTGTGTACTTCTGTAACCAAAATGATGTGTGGTACAGTCACAAAATACAAAAATAAAAAAAAAACAACCCTCAAATGGAGACGACCCTAAACCCCAAATCAGCTACAGCTGAGACTCAATCAAGCACGACTGCTGCTACGACCTACGACTACAAGGCGGTTGGGCGAGGGGACATCGTAAGGGAACACTGGTAATATGAAACCCTATTTTCTTTGATGCGGCGCACTGCAGTCAGAGACCATTCTCCTTCTCGCCCAGATCTGACCTCCAAGAACACTGGTAAGTCCTCTCGCTCTCTCTACATTTTTTGAAATTATTTACTTTACATGGCTGTTTGTTTCATTGTTTTTGTTTACAGATCTATATATTTACTCTATGAATCAATTAAATTGTTGATGCTAATAAACTAACACTCAATGATTAGCTGTGGTTTATCAAAAGATTGGCGGTGTTTTTTTTTTTTATGAAATTCAGACATACATTAGTGGTTCGACCTGAAGAAATGTTCAAGAAAATCAGTACAAATGGCAAGAACTTTTAACTGAAGAACGATATAGACATAATATTCTTAACAATGAGCAGTAAACTTGAGAATGGAGTATTTATTTACCACAAAACAGAGCATAAAGACATTGTTGAATGAAGCAACAAGATGGGTGTTTTCTTTTCACAATTTGATTTCACAAAAAAATGGAGTATTTATTTTTGTTGGAGAAGAAATTTTGGAGTTAATTGGTGGACTGATCTTATCTATTGTTCTAAATCACAGGTTTCTTTAATTTACCTTCGCACTCTCCGCTTCACTCGCAGAGGCATTTCATCGAACAGGTCGTG